GAACAACGCTCCGAAAATCGGTACCCCCATTCAACCGAAAAATGTACTAACAACAGGGGATCAATATTCACCTCTCAACTGCGGTCTTCTGTGTGGTGCGAACTCTCGCATAAGTCCGGATTCTCCCAGACCCAAGTCTGCTTTTCAAGATACCTTAAAGCCACTGACACTGACTTACCATGCCTACTTCGGAGTGAGGTACTACCCACTGGATCCTACCCAAATCATGGATGAGCAGACGAGGTGAGGTCGAATTGACCGTTTTTTTAACAAATGTGATATCAATCTACATTCTCAATAGTGAAGTCATACATTAGTCACATACTTCAAAGTAAAACTTTCAACTATCTTTTCCCTGAAATCTCAGCTTAGGACAACAAGCAAACTGAATATGTGGTTAATCAGTGAGTAGGAAATTGCTCTGAGTTTCCACTCACTTCTCTCTTTCATCCTGAACGAACCCGTAACGACTTTGTCATTAGAATACCATGGCCTTTGTTCACTACCAACCAGAGGGCTTTTTAACCAGCCTCGATTTGTCCGTACAGTTATGGAGAGGGACAAACCCATACCAATCATCAGGAGACTCGTTAGATCCTCGCATCCAACATGCTAGTTCTGACCGAAAGATATGCTGCTTAAGGACTACTTCACGGCACCTTATTGTGTCCCAGGGGGTGTTTTTAGCTCATGCTAGATGGATGGATGGATTATCAACTCACCTATGCGCACTTTGAGCGCACTGCTGATCACTCGCCGGTTTTCGAACGGTTCTGTCTTCATCTGCTCGAGGGTTGCACTTTGAGCGCACTGCTGATCACTCGCCGGTTTTCGAACGGTTCTGTCTTCATCTGCCAGCTCGAGGGTTGGAAGTTCAAATCTCCCTGTAGCTAAATGTACACTGCTGGTGATTCCAAGCAAGAATGCAGAAAACTGTACAGTGGTTCTCGGCAAAATTTCATTTGAAAGTGTTTCAAATCTCCTCGTATTGTTACTCACCCCATCAGTTTATCAAACGTGTGTTTTTACTCACTCGTTGCTGGACATCACTTATTCCCACCTTATTCAGTCCAACTTTTAACACTGGAATTCTGGTAGAGAACTTCTGTCACTGCTGACGGTGAGCTTTCACAACCAGGAATGATCTCAGCCTTAGGTGATGATAGAGTGCCTGTGCCCGTTCAGTCGCAGACTACTGCACACTAAGCATCCGAGATCCTCAATTCATGGTCACACTGAAGCATTTTTACAAGTCTACTACCAAGTAAAAGTGTGGCTGACTCACTCGACCACCCTTCAAAATAGAATCTAGTAATTTCGGTTTTGTTCAGCTTGACAACTAGTTGTGACAAGCTAAATTGGTCGTGAGAAGAACGGATAAGAAGCCCTTCGGGGTGAATCCATAACTTACTTACCTCCTTGATTAAACATCCGGTTCTACGAAGTTCGGTGATAGTTTATCGCTCGCAATGTTGTGGAATCTAGGTAGCTCGGGTGAGCTGCTTGGCTGTTGTTTTCGTCGAGCTTGGCCGTTGGATTGCAGACGTTTCATCACCAATCGAAGCGACATCGTCAGTGCAGGGCACTCAACCCTGTACTGGCGATGTCACCTAGATTGGTGATGAAACGTTTGCAATACAACTGCCAAGCTCGGCGAACCGACCAACAACCAAGTTCATCGTTGGCTGGCTCTGGTAATTTGGGTCAACTTCCCTCCCTTTTTTCGCAAGTTTTCGGTCGCTGAAAAAGTACTCAGCGTATACGTTAATTAAATGACCTTTGGCGTGACAGCCATTAAATGTGTGTGTTTATCGTCCAACTGAGTGAATAAACCATTCTGTTTGTAAGCCAGGTGGATGGTATCCAACTGAGCTTGATTTCGACTACCTTTGACCGCTTTTTGATAAAAACGTTGCAGGTGGTTGGCAAAAATATCATGTTCTTGGAAAAAGGTGAATTTTGGCATTCACCCATTGAAGTAAGGGCTAAATATGACACCGTCGACAAAGGACACTTTTAGATGCATCATTTTCTTATGGGACAGGAGTGAAGGTCAAGTCATGTTCAACAAGAAACACTTTCCTATAAGGGTACCATCAGAGAACACACTACTCCATTTTGTACTTCGGCAACAAAGGACGACGCACAACTCCCGGATTTTAACAATTTTTGATGGCTTGTCCTTGTCAGTGGTGCGGTTTATCGAACTATATATATATATATANTCAGACAATTGGTTGCATGCGTACACACAGAATTTCGTTTCACATAAATCAGTCATTTGGGAGTACTTTTGTTTTTGACCATCTTTTGCTGTAGTTGCTCGATGAAAACAGAACAAGCAGTTGAATTAGGGGATCCAATAGAAAAAGCGCAAGCTCCAGGGACTATTCTGTTTTCCGTAGTTTTGAGGTGGTGTTGAGTAGTACACGTGTCAACACTTGGTTATGAAGTACTAAACGTGAATGTGCAATCCCCTAAACTACGACCCCTTCGAGTACATCACCTTTGTAGTGATTCATCCCCTACAGCCGTTAAAAGTCTAAATAGAAAGGTCCTTGAGTAATAGTAGACGTGTAGATAGAAACGATCAATTTTCGTTTCCAAAAAAAGTCATGCAGAGACCCTGAAAAATCGTTTCCCATGGATATGTGCTACTCACGGTTGCATGTGGGCTGGAATACTGCCCACACCTAGACAGGAGGACGATTTAGGTCCCCACATTAAAGCGTTCCGCTCAACAGCCAGACAGTAAGGCAGTGGTGCTCGGCGGAAAATGCAAATACATTACCGTTTCTAAGGAACAAGTCACCATATATCTTCCAACCCTTCACCTGGAGAACCAGAAGACTGTGTTCGTCAGATCTCTAACCACTGACCAATCTGGTATGAGACTTTGCCAGTGTCACGCGGACACCCCCAAGTATAGCTCAATGGGTCGCCAAGGTACACAAAACCGTCAAACTACGATAAGATCCAGTCTCTTCGTGGCGGATCATTACCCATAGATTTATTGTGGCAATAAAACAAGTAGAGTACTGATAGTTAAGATATGGTGAGCGAGACAGTAATCCGGGCTACTGGTTTTATATAGCAATTGTTGAATTATTTACTGAGTTAACTGGTCGATCGATTAATTGACTGCCCGTCTGATTGATTGATTGACTGATTGATTGATTGATGGATTGATTCACTGATTGATTAAACTAGATTGTCTAGATTGTTGCTTGTCTGAACAGTGAGTGCGCACAGACGTGTTGTCATGAGTGGTGATCAAGCCCAGTCCTTTATCCTGAGAACCATACATCGTCACTACACATAACGTGATTAGAGCCTGGAATGCTGAAATCGGTGACTCAATTAGGTCGTTTCCCGGTAAGTGAAAAACCCCTGGGCCACTCTGTGGCCTTGAATTACCCTTGTAGATGATTGATAAATATAGAAATGGTCATTAGAAGACGTCCGAATGACCAAGTCGGTCAATTTCCACGTCCCAGGCTTGACGTACTCGTGATTCGTCGCCAGCCTCCCACCAAGTTAGTTGATAAACCCGTTTTTTCTTCAGGGATAAAGTCGAAAAATGATGATCCAAGTAAAACTTACACAAAAACAATCCTGAAGGTGATGAGTCGATATTGATCAGAAGCAGTTAACTTTTCATACTAGGCTTAGTGCACTGCCAGCACCTGTCGGTTCTTTATAAATTACAGAATGATAGTGAGCAAAACTGTTTTGGAAGTCATTTGCCCAATGGGATCATTTTATACAGATAATTCATGGTCATACTTCTGGTCATGATGAGAACATTCTTGACTCGTGTATGGTGTGCGCTCACAGCATGAACTACTTCGCCCGTTGATTGCACTGATCTGCTTGTTTGCATCCACTGACATTCATTTAGCCGTCTTGCTGTCATTATACTGTTCACCAGTCCCAAATTGATTTGCCAACAATGAATATCCGGGGATATTTATGAACATGGAGGTTGGTTGCTTGACCGAACCGTCGATTAGTTGTGTATTTCGTCGAATCCGCTTTGAAGGCCTTTTGTAGCTCTCTAACTCCAGTCAGTGGGTGTTTTTAAATCTCAGGATTCGGTGGCCTGCCAATGAAAACCGGCCGCATGCTTCAGTCGCTTCTTCCAAACCAAGTCACCGCAAACCTTTCGATAGTGGCTTTTTCATTAAGGTCATCTTGAAACAGGGCACTAAACAAGACCAAGAGCTCAGGTAACTTCACTGCCCTCTGTTTTATTTACTGTCGACAGAACTCTCATTGGGTCGATGTACACTGGACTGAGCAATGGGTATATGACCCAGGTGGGAACCGTTTCCTTGGGAGCTTAGTTTTAGATGAAAAATAATACTGGGATGCACTACTGATAAGATTGCTGAAAATCCGTCGACAACCCACGACCGGTAGGCGCAGTCCTCGGGTTTCCGTCAACCTTATGTTCCACTTGAAACCAAATCGCACAAAATTAGCGCATATAGACTCATTTGCAAATTCATTTGGTTTAGAACCCATCTGAATCTCCCGTTTGTGGTGTTTCCAGGCAACTGAATGTGCTATACCAGGCTGCCTCATGTTTCAGTCGCTACGATATTCGAGATATCGCGAAACCAAATTAGTTTGCAAATCAGTGTATATTCGCTAAAAATAATACTCACTCATCAATGACACCCTTCCGGTATCTAGCTGCGATATCACCCGAAGAAAGCATGGGGACTGAGATACTGTCAGCCTATCCAATTCTAAACAGGTGAAGTCGAGATGTCGGGGTCGGATTTGAACCACTGACCTTCCGATCAATTAGTTCGCACTTTGATCATATTTCGTGCGATATCGTACATTGTCTGGGGATCTGACTAGCACTAAAACAGCCACACAAAGATCTACTTCAATAATTTACTAAAAATCAAATCAGGCTTTCTATTTTAAACTCATTGGGTACTAGTATTCCCTATTCAAACATCACGTGAGCAGCTACCAGGTTAACATTTTATTTGAAATTGCGATGACACTAATGTGAGGCTCCCAAATGAACCTTCTTTTACAATTTGCTTCAGCAAGCAGGCTGCGTAAAAGCAATTTCTGGGTTAACTTTGGCCGACATTTATTGGCTCGAATATACTACTGTTTTGAGGTTGACGAAGACTCATCAACTGCATCAAGTGGGCATAGCTAAAGAAAGGCACAAACGCGTGAATCCTTTAAGTCTTACGCACACGTGATCTCAATTCGCAAATGAGTATTCAGCTTCACATTGGGCCTTATTTGACGTTTGTTTATGTGACTGGTTATCCTCTGGAAATTTGCACTGACTGACTGGTTTCTTCCGTCAATCGGTCGGCCTACAAATGGATGAGTAGTAGTAATACAGCGCACCAAAACGATGTTCGCAGTCTGCTACCTGATCGATTATTCTGACTAGCCGGACTTCCATAGTCTCTGCTCTTCTCGCCCGGATCATCAGGGACAATCAGTTATGCGGGTCAATGTGTGAGTCAAATAGTCGGCCGGTGTTAGCCTGACTCAAGCTACTTGTTACCAGCCAGTACCTCCATCTATCAGATGTCACCACAGGAGGTCAGTCTTGTCGCTACGTTACAAAAAATGGTAAATAGCAGCTGCATTTTTACCCAGCAATTTTAGCAAATTCCAGGTTCGGTTGGAACAGAGTTACGACTGGAAGTGAATGGAGCTGGCTGAGGTCATATTTGGTCTACACTATACCAACCGATTTCGTTCAGCTAAGAAGATGATCGGAGGTGGCTCATCGTCGAAGGCGCGTGGTATAGCGCGTGCAGCATTCCAACCTTCTGTCTAAGCTGAAGTAGACATATTGGAACCTAACAGCACTGCAAGCCCAATACATGGGTACTGGGCTCTAGGGGGCTGAAGGTAACCGATGAGCTTGAATTTAATTTTTGTTCACGGATTGGACTGAAGTACAAAGTGGTGTATTCCTGCTTCATTTTCTGACATTTGTTCTGTAATTTCACCAGGCCCCTAGCATAGTTAAGCGCAAGCTTATAACCTGAATCTCATCTCCTCTTTGAAAACGGACCGAGACGCACCTATGACGTGTGAAATTGGTTTGTTCCGGCGATTCCCTGGTTTCATAGGCACTTTGAAGCGGTATATGTCGGAACTTAGCAGGAGCCAGCAAAAAAAAACTCAGCGATTTTCGTACTGCACTACTCATATGGTTGCTGAAAATCCGTCGACAGCCCACAACCGGTTTCGCCCTTCTTGGGGCTCATCAGGTAAGCTCAGTTCCCGAGAATCCGCCAACCTTATGTTCTACTCGAAGTCGAAATGCACGAAATTAGCGAAATACACTCGTCTGCATTACGAATATACATGTATCGCGATATCTCGAATATCGTACCGACTGAAACATGAGGCATCCTGGTGCAGCACATTCAGCTGCGCGGAAACATCATAAACAAAAAATTCAGCTGGGTTCCAGGTGAGTCTCTCGCAAAACCAAATTTGTTTGTAAATGAGTGTATTACGCTAAACTCAGCGTATTATTCTCAAAGCCATACTGTTCTGGGGAATAGAAACTTCTCTGGGTCGTCATCAGCTTAAGGTCGACTTTTTCCTGATCTTAGTTGGTTCCTTTCTTCGGTGAGTCAATATAGTGCATGGAAAGGTTCAATGACTTCCTAGAGAAAACTGCTATCTAGCTGTTCAGCACACACACTCAGTTTGATCCGGATGCTTTATCTGAGTGGTATTTGACCTGGAAGAGAAAGAAGTTGTGAGAACTTGGACGCATCTTGATCCGGCGAAAAGAGCTTGCTTCCGCCTCCAACTAGGGGAACGATTTTGTGTTCTGCACATATGTGCACAAATTTGTCTCCTGTAACAGTTTTTGGTTCTCTTCCCGTTAGGTACCAGATATTCCTGCAAGTGCGTGATGACTTGGCGTCTGGACGAATGCCAGTGAACGAGGATTTGTTCGTCAAGCTCTGTGGATTGATCTTACAGTGTGAGTTCAACGAATTCAAAGTTTTCCAGATTGTCCGTGGATCGACTGCATCTAACTCCATCATCTAGGTAATTGCTAACGCCGCTGTCGGAGGGAATCGATCGATAAAGTGCAGTTTTCCGTAAGCTCACATTATTGGCTATTGGTGCCAATCGATCGAAATGCGGCTTTCACGTTGAATTAAGCACAGAATCATAAGCTGTCTCATGATGCACCCGGTGTAATTCGCCCTTTTTTTCCCGGTCCAAAACTGTGATGACAGTTGCAATTGGTCCGATAATAACTGTTCTTGTTCTGTTTTATTTATTTATCTTACGTATTGTTTTTTCATAGTTTACCTCCGAAAAGATACCACTGAATACACCCCATGCATCGTGCTACATGTCGTTTCACTGATCAGTCGGTTCGATTGATCACATGGCATACACCGGGTTGAGTTATTCTCACAAGTCGCGCATACCGTCTTAGATGACTGGGTACGGATGAGTACAGTCAGTTTGCTGGACAGCTTGAATGGCGAATGAACACTATTCAGGTCACGTTTCTTTGTAACGATGATCTATGTGTCGAACACTTGAGGAGGCCTGTACACCTGCGAGTTCATTTTGCAGGTCATTGTGTCAATTAAACCTTCCGTTAACCCAGGTTATGCATTCAATTTGACGCTCGCAAGTCACCACTTTGATATTCCTTTTCACGCTAAGTCATCTCTATGGAATGTAAGTTTTTAGCGTCCTAGAACTTGAAGTAGGTCCGTCCCACATTATGACCGCTGTTTGCGCCGCCGAGATTTAAACTGGTGCTCATCAGATGTGATTTTGAACTGCTGATCACAAGCTTCTAGCATTAAGCTCTCGGAAGGAGTTTCTAAGACGAGTTCGCCGTTGAGGAAGGGTGCAGACTTCTACTATCCTCTCACCTCCGGTCACGTCCTATCAAGCTGTGTACCCTCCCCCCGTTTCATCTTTTGGGGTCCACTGTAGTAGGAGATTCAATTCGAGACTCCTCCTTGTGCATAAACTTTTCTGAAGTATGTATTTCTCTTAGGAGTTTTTGGCTTCTCCCGAAATTTGTGATCACCCCTCGAAGGATCCACTGCTATGTGGAAAAATCTTGTGGACTTTCCAGTAGAAGGGGTTTCTCCTCGAAGAGGTTTCCGGAATTGCAGTGAGGAATTTCTTTTTTTACCTTGGCGCACCTCGTTTACTCACTACCAAATATCCTTTGACTAGGTACCTAGCAGTACTTTTGTTACCGCGAACTAGGACTGTGTCCATATGTAAATGCTAAAGAGAAGTTGGAAAGGTCACAACGGTGAGAGTTCACCGTCACTTTGATACAAAAGTTAGGAATGTTACCTTCCAATTCCCACGTGATCGCCCACAGTTCCCTCCTCAGGTCCTGTAAATGTATCTGGCGGTATCACGAATAACTTAGACGATATCGACCGTGCAAATGGCTTGGTCGCAAACAGAGACTGAGCTGCTAGCTGTGGGGTCTTGAGGCCCTCCCGGTTGGGACTTTGATTAAAACCAGTGACAAAGGTACTTTCACATTCTAGCCTAACTAACTAGCCAAATTTTGTGTCGTGCGCTAGGCATATGGAGGGTAGGGATGACAAATGACACTTGGTTTATCTGATTCCCAAGTCTGTTTATTTCATTGCTGTCTCATTTTTGTTCTTGATCGTCTTTTCTGAGAACATGGGGCTCTTTGGCACTATGTCGTGACCCTTCCCCTTTGTTTCTCGTCTTTAATGGGACTTGTTATCCCACAGTGCTGTCGCAGTTAAGTGCCACCGTTTGCTATTATTGTGTCGCTGTTAGAGTCTTGCTAGTGGTTCCTAGGTGAAAGACCAAAGACCAAGTACATCTTTCCTTTGAAAATGGATGAAATGTTTTGCTCCGTTTCTCTTTGAGCAATTTTTGTGAACTTACGAACGACACGTTCAAAGTCTACTCCTGGGGAAGTTTCGCCATATTTCTGTCATTTTTGTCAGGTTGCGAAGCATGGTACAAACTAAATAAACCCTCCTGTGGCTGTTCCTACATTTAGAATCCTGTCATATCATCGTTCAGCTGTGACACCCTTTTGGTGCCTAGCTGCCATGTCACCAGAAGAAAGCACGGGGGCTGGGGTACTGCCAGACTGTCCAAGCCTAGACAGAGGAAGTCGAGAGTTAGAGGTCGGGTTCGGACCACGAACCTTCTGAAGAGTGAATTCGTGTCAACGAATTGCACATGCTCTGGTTTATTTGTTTATCTTGACTAGACAAGGTGGATCGACATTTCCATCCCTCGCGTATTATTTAATTTGTCTTCGACCGCTTGCATTTCAGCTGACTGTGGTGATTACGGAGAAGATAAGCTGGGTGTTGACTACGTTCGACGCCTGCTGAAGATGCCGCATTTGAGTAGAGCCTTGGAAGCACGGATCAAAGAAAAACATGCAGAGTGCAAGTGAGTGGGACAGCTTTTTGTCTTTAAAGCGCTTGTTTTTAAATATACAACAACAATCGTAAGTCGAAACGTCCGCTAACATCCATAAACGGGGTTCGTTCAATTCCTCGGACTTGCGCAAATCGTTCGATTCGAATCTCAGCACTCCGAGACCGTTCCCAGATTCTATAAGGTTGAATAGGTGGAAACTTGACACGGAGGGAGTTTTATTATCGATTCTCTTAGGATGTGGTCTTCCCGACGGGGTTTATCAGCTGAAGAGATAAATTCCAATAAGTTGTCTAAAAAGTATACGGTTTCCTACGAAGAGCACCTTTCTGCCTCCTGTAGGTGTGCATGAGTTTGTTGCATTCTGTGGTCGCTACAGCAGTGCTGGTTTACTGAGACACGGTGAGATGAAACACGAACGATAAAAAAATCATTCAGCTGCAACACCCTTGCGGTGCCTAGCTGCAACGCCACCCGAAGGAAGCACGAGGGCTGGGCTACTGCCTAGACAGGGTAAGTCGAGAGGCAGAGGCCGGGTCGGAACCACGGCCTTCCGGTCAGTAAATTCGTGCTCTAACCACTTGGTCCATCTCGCCCCAAAACTCGAACGATAGTGATTGTTTGTGGCTTTCGAGATTTTGTAGACAGTCCGACTGTTGGATAACTGACTGTGAATGTAAACCATGAGTTTATACGGCCGATCAGACTGTTATTTTCTGGGTCTCCAAGACCCTTTGGTCCAACAGGGCTTTTTCTTGGGTGTGTGTGTGTGTGGGAAATGCCCAGTTTTTTTCTTGCGCGTGACCTAGAGCACTGGGCATGAAATTTCGAAGCTCACATCTGATTGTTCACAGTTCCAGGTTGCTACTTTTTATGTGGACAAGCAAAACTTGGTGATCACCTGACTACCTCATCTGGTCATCCTTCAGCCATAGGGTTCCCATTGAAAAGCAATGAGTTGTTTTAAAGGGACAATGGAATGTTAGTCTTTCTTTTGTTTTGCATCCAAATCCAGACATAACTGTCCAAACGCAAAAGTGCAGTATTGGAGCAAATACTTGCGGTCATCGATCGATTTTATTTTCGCTCGCCGCCTGAACCATGTTGACCTCCAGTAGGTTACGTCATTCGTCATTGATCAGTCATCCACAGTCACCCAAGAAGGAAAAAACGAGTGAAGAATTCAGTCAACTGAATGACCTTTTCGGCTACAAATTCTGTCTGTCTACCAGTTCGTAGCTTACTGGTGATCCCGAAGATCCGGTTTGAAAATGCTAATGACTTATTAGTTCTTGACAATTTCACACATGGCACTCTAAATAACACCGCAGAGAACACTCTCTCCCGGCAAGAAACGTACAAAATAGTGTGAGGAACATAGTACAGTGCGGATTACATCATTTACGTACGTCTGAAACAACGTGACCAATCAACGAAACTCGAAACTATCCACAACTAATCAGAGTAACCTGTAGTCTTTGGATGGATGGAGAACATAAACCTCTGTGACCGCCTGCTTTGTGCTAAGGCTTGGAACAGAAAGTTGAGTTCAGCTGTGTTCGGTATTAATCGACGATATGACCCATGGATTCTGTTTTTGCCGGCGTTTCAATACTTTTGGCAGCAACAGAAATTACGCTGTTTTAACTGCCAGCAGTGATTTACTGCGGCAAAGTTGTAAGCATACTCATCAGAGTCACATCTATTCACACGTCATTATATTCGCCAGTTCACCCGAAGTTGCAGTAATGCACAAATCATTAGAAGTGACAGAAGGCTTGAACCGCCATCAAACTGGCACGTGCTCAAAAAACTCCATATCACCTGACCCTAGTTCAACTCAGATCGGACAAGGGTCAAATCATTAGAAGTGACAGAAGGCTTGAACCGCCATCAAACTGGCACGTGCTCAAAAAACTCCATATCACCTGACCCTAGTTCAACTCAGATCGGATCAAGGGTCAAATTATCCATCACCGGGCGTCTAGTTGACAAAGGACACAGCTGGACTTAACTCGCCGTTCCAAGTCTTAGCACGAAGCAGAAACTAATGTTCCTAGAGGATGTACTGATCAGTTGTTTTAAGCCAGTCCTCAAACCTCAGGAAGGACAGAGGCCATTGTGATTGATTGTGGGTGGCTGTGGTCACCTTTGTCTTAGCTTCAGTCCTCCAATATCGATTGGTACTTTTGTCAAGGAGGACGGCATTTTGTGTTCAGTTTGGGTGCGTACCGGGAGGGAGGATGCATTACAGACGAGCTAAAGTATGAGGAAATCACTCAAGCCCTAAATAAACATGACAGATTTGCAGTCGTAAACTAGGTAATACGGCTTAAAGTGCATCGCAGGTGTTTCTTACACCGGTGTACCTAACGAGGTGTTTTACTTCACACGTTGGTTCCCCTATTCATTTCGCTCGGCCGGGGAACTCAGCACTGCTGTCTTGACTTCCTTGGCCAACAGACTACTCCGTGCATGGTTCGGAAAGTGAGCAGGGCTTTGTGATGGTGGTCACAAATTAAGCCTTCGGCCTACAGCATGATTTCGATGAACGTGCTAGATGCACTGTGAAAGTTAAGGTGAGATAATTCCATACTTGATAGGACCTTGCTTTCCAGTGTTTGGTAATGGGTTGTCTTCACGCTCGGTTTATACTGGGCTTACTCACGTTTCCCATCCTCCAGTTATGCTTTATGGGTTCCTTGCGGATGATGTTTGAGGAAGTTATGGACTCACTGATAAACTTCTTTGGTTGACTTGTGTGGAAAATTCGAGTATTACAGCATGGGCGGAGGTGAGCAGCCTCAGTGGTCTTTTGTTGCTCAGCCTCCCCCCATTAGCGGGGACTTCACGGTCGCTGTTCACACCCGACCTTCTGTTGGTCCATACGTTGTCCTAGTACATGGCGACTAGTTGTAAAGCTTTGGTTAGTTCATATTACAATCATTTGATCTTTTTTGGGCCACTGTTTTATGGACGAGGAATTCGACTGGATTCAATCCACCCATCATCCCGAAGAAATCAACGCGAGTTGCTTGTGGAAGAATTTCATCCAGTCTTAAACCAATGCATTCTTTATAGCGGCTGTCCTAGTGTCTACCCAAGATGAAGTCTCTTGTACTCCTAGCCTCACGTCTATGCAGTCCAGCTCATCGGGAACTTTGTACTTTGTGAAGCGTTTCATTTCTACCTACTGTTGTTTTCATGGTAGTAAGAGTCTAGTGAAAAGATGACAGCATCCGCTTTCTCTCCCTGCTCCCGCACTGCAGAGGACGTCAACCGGCGCTGGTCGAGTATCAGTTCCTTGAAAGTGCCAAACAGTGCATGGCCTATGGTCAAGTAAAGTTCGCCGTTCTTGTAAGTCCATGGATATCAGTTTGACTTCACTTTTGACAGTTCATGATTTCAGCAACGATGATAAGATTTGATTTATTGCATTACCACCTTTTAACCGATCGTGAGTAGTTCATCTGAGTGATCATCGATCCTCGCAGAGGACCAGCCAATAAACCAGCTTTGGGTTAAATGTAGGGGTTTCGCCGGACCGGTAACCAAGAGATACTATCAGTTTTCCATGTGTCTGAAGCCACATTTGTAGCAGTGATCAGCGGAACAAAGACCACAAGCTAATCAGTACAACGAAAGGCCTAGAGAGTTTTACCTCAAATCATCTCCCACGGCCTATTTGCTACCTTTCAGGCTTTATTACCACGTGCCTATCTGCATTTTTTATCGGTGCTCTGAACCGACTGAATGAGTATAAACCCATGTGCAACAAATTTCAGGATACCGTTTCCAACTTGGGCTGCTTGTTCGGAATCGGGCCAGCTGGAGTCACCATTGAGGAGACGCAGTCAAGTCTGATTCATTTTTCGTGGTATGTTTCCAATTACCGCCCCAAATTTTCCCATCCTAGATTTTCTGTAAGAAGTTTTCAATTTATGGAATGACCATCAGTATTGGGGCGCACATAAGCACCTATTTTCAACTGTTGCTTAAGTCTCTACGCTAACGTCCGCCACTATAAATTCCTGGATTTCATTGTCTAGACGCATGTTCAGTGTCTCTCATGAAGTCAAACGCTTGGATTTTTATGAATGTCAACGCTGCTAGCTGTCTCTAGAACGCCAGACCTAGTATTTTCTGTTAGGGGGGCAGGCGGCTTCTCGGTTATCTCTAAACGGCAACCCGAGTGGGGAATAAGAAATCAAAAGTCGTTCGGCTGTAACACTTTTTCGGTGCCTAGTTGCCATGTCACCTCAAGGTTGTACGAGAGCTTGGATACTGCAAGGTTGCCCAAGCCTAGACAGGAGAAGTCGACAGGCAGAGGTTGGTATCGAACCGTTGACCTTCTGGTCAGTAAATTCGCGCTCTAACCGCTGAGCCATCTGAGTGCGAAAGTTAACTCGGCCGTGTTCTGTGACATTGCGGAACTCGGAAAGGTCTACCTGAATACATGCCAATGTGAACAAAAAGGTCCCGCTGCCTTTGGACGCATGCGAAAGGTGATAGCCCAATGTAATACGGCCGAGCCTGAAAACTAATGTAGCTCAGTGGTTAAGGCGCGAAACAAGTGGCAGGAAGGTTTGTTTTTCGGAACCAGCTCTGGCCTTTATATTACTATTGTCTAGGGTGCAACCATTTTGTGGTAGCTTAGGCCACGAACTTCCTTCGAGGTGCGTGACCACTATACAGGGAAAGATGTCACAGCTAAAAATCAATAATATATTTGATAATATCGTCTACTTTTTTGTACGGAAGACAGACAGATCTACCTGAATCCCTTACTTGTGAGTTGGTCAACTGCGCGAAGATCACCTCACCTTCAAGTTATTACGTATATTGTCTACAGAGGGCACAGTACTCATAATTTTTCCCAAAAGACCCTTCGACAGTTCACGACAGAATTTGAGTGTCTGGAATACGCCCTCCCTGTGGAGGTGAGGGCACGCCGCCTTCACCTTGAATTTGTTTTTGTTCGGAAACTCCCTTAGAAATTCCGTTTTTTGGTGCGTTCTGAATTTTCGGCCAATTCACCGAAGCTTTAACTTCAAAAATCTTCATTCAAAACTACTCAACTTCCCATCGAACACCCCAAAAAATTCACACAGCTCTTCCATCTCCTTTTACTAGGATGCAAATATCTGGTTTCTCCGGAAAAAGTAAGCAGCTTTCGATCCACATCACTGACCAGGTGAGTAATACCCTCCTACTTTGTCCCCTACTGTTCAGTGTGAGTACATTTGTGCACTTTTGACGCTTTATTCTCGCTTAGCTCCGGTTCTCTATCCTTGTTTATGAATGAGATAGGAACTCTTGACCGGGGAAACACTAACTGAACACCATAAATTCAGCGGAACTTTCATAGCCACCAGGCTTGTGTGCCCATGTCGGCCAAGTCTACCAGAGCACAGGTTGTTTAGTTTTAAAAGCCCATTGCATCATTATGGATTCAATATATTCGGGGCTGTTGTGGTCAAGTCAAGTCGTTTAGACAAAATATTGATATATTTCCGCAAACTGAGAAGCTCGATTTATCTGGAATGTTGGGTGTCAGAATAGACTGATTTCACGCAGATTGAAAGGACCGTTATCCGAAGCTGGTTCAAGTTGCTTCTCGCAAACTCCAATTTTTCGTTTGTCGGTAAGCTACTATGATTTTGGTTAGTAGTTAAAACAAATTCGCTTCTGTCTACCCGATTTCCCTGCCGTGACAGTCGTGCTGAAGGCTGGTCGAACAGAACATCCAGCGGTTATCAGGATCTCCTTTTTGAACTCGTGAACGTTTCCGAGAGTTCCATACACCTTATTTTTTCGAACCGTTTGCTTACTAATGATTTAGTCACGAGGAATAGACAGCGTGCTGATTTCTTTATTTACAGGGGGGAAAGTTCACCTATCATTACGCCTTGGACGATAAGAAGAGGTGTCGTCAAATAATCAAACAGTGCAAGCGGTTACTGCACTTCTATCGGTGAGTTTGACTTTTTTGATCCAATGTGATGAATATCGTGACAGGAGTTTGTGTGCAACGTATATTTGCGTATACAGCTGTCCACATAGAGGGGGAACTGGTCTAGGATATCATTCTTGAAGCATGGCTAAATTACCGCTGGTTTTGCAACGTCTCAGTTTGATTCTGTTTCCTCCAAGATTACAATTGTGAAAGTGGCATACTGTCCTCAGGAACGGCTGCATGGGTTTTGTTATTTCTTGCACTACAAAACCGGGAATCCGTGCGTCTCACTGTGTCGCATCACTCGTGTTCGCTCCCACCCTATCTGTCCCGCAGCTTTGCGGTTAGATTTTGTGGTGTTCTTTAGAATATCGACACTACTGCGACGCAGTAAAACTCAAGTAACACTGTGTCTTGTTTCTGGAGCCGTCCACTGAGAGCTCCTCATCCACTCCCAGTAGTCCAATGCTGTTTTGCTTGCGCCAAAAACGTGAGACAGTTTCTGTGAACCCGGCGGATTTTCTATACTAAAGAAGAAGGTTCTCTAATTGCCATACTTTAGCAATTCTGTTGAAGTTATTCTTGTTCTCGCAGATGCTACATAGATGGAGTTCTCCCTCTGGCATTCTGAAACTGAGGGAGTGAAATCGAGAGGCAATTTAACTTAGTTAAGTTGATTGCGTGTGTGTGTGTGTGCAGCGGCTGGGTAGAAGCTCCTGAAAATCATGTACAATTCCTCCAGCCTACTTTGCCACACCAGGTATTCTATTACAGACTCGTTTGGTTGTCTGCTTAGCGCGTGTTCATTTTGTTAAACTTTTATCGCGAAGCTGATGTCTGGATGACAGTAAACAGACAAAAACATACACAGGAAATGAAAGAAAACCCTAATGACACCGACCAATTGGCAGCGGACTAAATAAGACGTGAAAAGGAAGAAGATCGGGGGTAACGGGAACCGGAACAAAGGTAGTAGTAGCAAGATTGAATGACTGACCAACAAGTTGTAGAAGAACGGACCCCCAGAATTCGTGGCCGTCTTGTCGATACTGATGGAACAGGGACTCAAAGACAAGTGTGGATTCAGTTGGAACATGATGTTTGTTCGTAGTCTGAAAATGTTCAACCAAAAGAAAACACGGATCAGGATTCGAATACTCGATTTCTTGAGCCTTACTACTAACTAATGCTCAAGCAGTACAGCTTTCTCTCATCTGAAATCTCCACCATCACACTGACGATATGGCCATGGGCAACCAGGCAGAACATGTGATCAGGGAACACAATTCAAACGAATCTAATGTGTAAAAGTCCTACACAAACGAAAACCCAACTGTCCTCCTAAATAATCGAAGAAACCAACTGTTATCGTAAGATTCAAGGCGAAAAATTAACAGAATCAAGTTTCCGATTTTTCGGAAGTGCAGCTGAAGGAAAAACCGGACGGGTTCTAATGAACAGGATAGTACTTGTTGACGTTTCAGAAGACATTGTCTTTGGCTCGCACTTTGTTACTTTTCCAGAAAATTGGCCGCCCGGTTTATTTCTAAAGGATATCTGTTTGGCCAAAGGCGTATATATTTTTCGGATCTGTCTGTACAAGATAGCCAAATATTTCAATATGAACATTCAGAGAGAAAAACAACAAATGTTTCTGGAAAGATTTTTTAACATGGATTGCGCCATTGTGGAACTAAATGTTGTAAGCACTCTCGATGATCACCCACTTACTTGAAAACTGATTTCCAAGATATAGGATAAAATGGCAGCTGTTCTGAAATGTGAGAAATTGTTTCGGGGACATTTCCTGAATGCTAATAGAACAACGTTTGCAAGGAAATTTTTGACCTCGGCGAGCCCGACGAATTTCATTTAAGGTGATGCTGAATGGCAGGTCAACACAAGCCTAAAAAATCAGCTGTTCAGCTTGCTCGCTTCTTTATAACTTCAGACAAACCGTTCAGCTTCCACAATCTAGTTGTCCGCATCTTTTGTGAAATACGTCAGTGGGTGAAAAGGTCTCCTCGCCTGATCCTGTAGCAATCGTTTCATCCTATCCATTTGGAGTAGCAGGGTGCTAGTAACTTTCATAAGAATTTCACTGATGAGCTCACCGTAAATTCGGAAACCCTCCACTGATTTGTTCCGTACACTATCAAAAGGTTTCATGTTGAGAAATTCTATTACCTTCATAAAGGAACCTACTCATAAAGTTGCTGAAAACAGCCCAAGACCGGTTCCGCCCCTCTTAAGGCTCATCAGGTAGGCGCAGTCTCCGAGTTTCCGTCAAGCTTATGCTCTACCTGAACCCAAATTGCACGAAATCAGCGAAATGCACTCATTTGCAAACAAATCTAGTTTCGTGAGAGACTCACCTGGAACCCAGCTGGATGTCTCGTTTATTATGTTTTTGAGCAGCTGAATGTGCTGCACCAGGCCGCCTCCTATTCTTTGAGTAGTCTTTTGGCGTTTTGTACGTTTCCCCTATTCCCAATCCATTTGCTAAAATCGGCCCACAGTCACGGATTGATTCAAACTGCCCTGACTGCCCTGATACACAACATGGCCAAAACACAAGAAGGGAGCTTTCCGCCTCAAGCGGAAATGTCATTGGCACATTAGAAATTACAGAGGGAATACCCGGTCTGAAAGCCAACTCGCTAAACGTTTCGTCATATTTCAAACTCAGAATATGGGTGTGAGGAATTCGGTCGCACGATCCGGTGTGACAGTGAAGAACTGAAACGAGTTCTTATTTCACTTTGCCAATGACTGCTCCTGGGAGGTCGAATTCCCCGAGTGACTCAGTGACTGTGCTTAGCAAACAAAACCGCAAGTCTTTTTAGCAGGTAGTCTTGATCAAACATTGATAGACCTAGGAATGACATCTACTGTGCCGAATGTGCTTACAAGCCGCAGGCTTGATGAAGCCTTTAGAAGGGCTAGACAAATCCCCGAGTCCTTTTTTACCAAGCGACTGACAAGCAGGCTTTACCGCATGCGGACTGTGATGAATGTGCCATACGTTACTCATGATACCTCCTTATCGTAAAAATGACAGAATATTTTGCTGTGAAGCACAAAAACTGTATTTATAAGGGAGATTTTGCAACTCAGTACAGATTTTTGCGGACCGCTTTAACACAAGAATCTACTGGTGTTCAAATGAGTTCAACTACTCACAGTGGAAGATATATCGCCGCCACCAGCGCGGGTATATTCATTGAAAGCAACGTTCGTTTTATTTACAATCCACAAAGTCTGGAATTTTCTCCGCTGCTCTACTGTGCACCCAATAGATGTTTACTCAAGGTGCCCAATACAAAGTGTGACCTACTCTATTGTGAGCATGTTCACAAGAGACGTTTTTTCTGGTAACCGGTATTCGGTATACCGTTGGAGGGTATGTTCATAACTCCTCACCACGGGTATATTCATAAACAATGGTTTTCACTGATTTCAATCTTTATAAATGAATATGGGATGTTTCTGCGCCCCCCTGAATTGGTCCAGTATGTTTAGCCCTCTTGCCGGGAGCAGTTTGAAAGGAGACACAACTTCAAACTCTGCACTTATGCTAGGCCAGGCAGATCTCCATTGGTGTTCAAATATATGAACCGTAATCAGATTTCATGACTTATCTTAATTCATGAGTCCTTCATCACCGGTCCCTCATCTATCAATCAGTGCTTATTCGGACCTCGTTGAATATCGACTCAATTTTGAACGCTACAATTTGGATCTCCCCAGTTTTTCGACCAATCAGAAGAGGACCGGTTTACCGTGATTCGAGACTGTAAAAACCAGTGTGCGAATAGGTGACGGGTTGTTCAGCTCCGTGTACATATCTGACTGATGTGTTCTATGTTGCCTCGTTTTGTCATTTCGTTAAGAGTTTCGCGTTCCCGTGGTAGAAGACTTGTGCAGCAGGAGGTCTCACTGCCGGAATTTGTTTTGTTCAAAGCACTTAGGCGTGCATGATAGCAATACCTACCTACCTACATGATTCATGGGCTAGCGTCTGACCACTTAGGCGTGCATGATAGCAATACCTACCTGCCTACATGATTCATGGACTAGCGTCTGACTATTACTATTCATTGTCATGGAGACAGACTGATACGTGTGGCCAACTCGGTCAAGCAGAGCGCGATTAGCTCAAAGCAAGCCAAACACAGAGAGAGAGAGAGGAATGATGCATGTACTGTTCTGAAAAAGGAGGGTACACTGGTGGCGCCATCTTCCCAAATCAGTAGTAGCTCTGTCTTTTGATACCTAAGTAATCCCCTAGACGCCAGTGGTATTGATCAAAAGCCGTTTGATTAATTGTCATCCGGGAATTTCACTGAGCAGCAGGTAGATCAAACTTGTGAGCGTGGATATCTGTCGTAACTGCATTCCTGTACACTGAGTTTAATTTGCCTTGGCCTTCTTGAGAACTAAACGCGAACTCAAACTGACACAAAGGCTTCTAATTGGCATCGTTTCACAACAGTGATGGGATTGAGTAACCAGATCGAAAATGGATTGCTTAGGCTACACACACTGTTTTTCTCCTTCCATTGCATGTCGCGTTACCGAAAGTCTCGTGATCGACTACTACGTGTATTTGGACAGTTGGTGCTGGCTCTCTCGCAATGCCGTCTTTCAACTTAAGGTAGCCCAATGATTAAGGCACAAACTTACTGACTAGAGGGTCCGTGATTCAAAATTATGCCCAGTATCTCGACTGCTTTTGTCTGGCTTGCGCAACGTAGTAGTAGTAAAAACCAAATTGGTTTGCAAATGAGTGTATTTCTCGAAAACAGTCCAATTTAGGTTCAAGTAGAACATAAGGTTGACGGAAACTCGGGGACTGCGCCTACCTGATGAGCCGGCCCCAAGAAGGGCGAAACCGGTCGTGGGCTGTCGAAGAGTTTTCAACAACCTTGTGAATAGTTCTGGCCTTGTGAGTAGTTTCCTTTATAAAAATAGCAGTATCTCATTTCCCGTACTTCCTTCAAGTAGTGATGCTGCGA